CTGCTAGTATCCACACAGGGCATCCATCGTCGTGAAGAAGTTCGCCATCCGGTTCACACTACGCATAGCTGCAAAGGGCGTGGGAGAAGGGTGCGCACTGCGCAGGACGAGACACCTGGCTGTTGAGCTTGGAGAGGTCAGTGGTGATCCGAACACCACCTTTGGGTTTTGCGACGGCTACCATAGGGTGACACTATGGAGACAGGTCATCACCGGCTGGTGCAATAATTTCTTGGGCAACCATGGAGTCCAGCTCGTTTTTGACCGCATCACGGAAGGCCAGGGGGACCAGTCGAGGGGTGTAGATAGCGAAGGGCTTCGCGTCGTCCCTCAAGTGGATCCTCATGGGGGAGCCTACCATCTTCTTGAGAGGCTTGGATTCCAGAGCGGACTTGGTCCTGGAAGATGATGGCCAACTCTTGACAATGTCTGTAGGACAGCAAAGGAGTCGGGACACCGTTATGCACATCAATCCAGGCTTGACGCGACCTGTTGCCAAAGGTGACCTGTGCCTGGAGTGAGCCTAGGGCTGGGGCCATCTGTGAACCATCTGCTGTGAAACGGAGGTCCTTGGGGGGCGGTCCTAGATCACTTGGAGAGAGCCCCAAACATTGCAAATGCTGGGGACCGATGACTGTAGCATCAGCGCCGGTGTCGGGCAACATCTGAAGATGGGATGACACACTGCCATAGGTCACGATGATGCTGATGTGCTGGGGAACTTTAGTCCTGGGACGCGAGGGGGAGAACACCTTCCTAATATGGCTCGAGCGTTGTCCACGGTCGTCATGCTTCTGATTGGACGACTGTGGGCTGCCCTCCCTGGTGGAAGGGCGCTGCTGCTTCCGCCGACGCTATCCCTTGGGTTTGTTGGTAGGGCAACACTTGTCATAGTGGCCCAGACGACCGCACACATTGCACTGGACGCATTTGGCTGGACACCGTACTGTGAGTGACCAGTGGCCCTTACGGTCACAACTGTTGCAGGTAGACTCAGCAGCTGGACACACCTGTGTTCCGTGCTGCTTACCACAATTGTTACAAGAGGAGCCTGGGGTGGGTGTGGTGGGCTTAGGCGTTGGAGTAGACTTCTTGTCCTTCTTCTACCGGGACACAGCACATACAGCTGTAGGGGGAGCTCGGATGGCAGAGGTGGCACACCTGGCAACCTCATAGGAGCGACATATTGTCAACACATCCTTAAGAGAACAGGAAGAGTCGAGGGAAGCGAGGCGTTGGACAAGCTCCTCGTCCTTAACACCCATCTGGATCACCTGCTTCAACTGGGTCTCCTCGCACTGCTGGTGGTTACCTGGGCATATATCTACCTCTTCCGAGGCTCTCTTGAGGCGTACATAAAAGGCATCAAAAGTCTCGCCCTCTGTCTGTCTGCAGCTAAACAATTCCCTCCTGCGTAGAGCTTCATTCTGCTGCCCTTTGATGTGCCGTTGTAGAATATCCAGTACCTCCTCTACAGACAACGAAGAGGTCGGTGGTACCTGCAACGTATGTTCCAAGACACGCTGTGTTTCCAAAGACAGGCACATGCGCAGCTGAATAAGTTGTTTAGGCTGTGACAAGCTCTGGAGATCCACCATTGTAGCATAATCAGTCCACCGTCGCCGCCATTCACGAAAAGTCTGGAAATTCACATCAGGCTTCAAGATGGGTGGTGTTTGAGCGGCCGCTTTAGGTGGGGCTGGGGGGCGTGAAGAAAGCATTGATGAGGTATCTGAACCAGTCGATACCGAGGCAGTGTTAGAGCCAGGGGCTTGGTTAACAGTGAGGCGAGATATCAAAGCTTCAAACCGTGCACTGTCTTCCAATCTCCGTTGGTGGTCTCTCTCTGCCTCAGCTTGCCTCCTTTTTTCATCCTCCACACATCTTTTAGCTTCGTCCTCACGCCTTTCATCCCTCATAAACTTCATTAAAGCAATTATCTCTTAAGACAATGCTGAAGATCGAGTTGAAGGTCTGCGCGATGTGGTGGGAGGAACTGGAGCGCCCTGTTCAGCCTGGTCATCCATCTCTGCAGAGTTGTCATCCAACTGACTCATCCAGGCGTTGGCTCCACGACTGCGTAAGGCACGAGACATAATTACTTAATCTGTGTACTGTGTCTTAAATCAGTGTTGACCTTTCAGCCCGTTGTATCAACAAGATCTGAGACAAAAAATTAATTAAATGCACAGATAAGTAGATTATATATATAAAATATATATAAAGGGATGACTGCAGTCAGTGTGTTCGTGCGTGTGTGTATGTGTGTGCGCCTCGGGCAGTGTCTCGGTGGGAGGGAGAGGCGGCGACTCACAGTCAGTCATCAGTTACCCTCTAGACGCAGCCGGAGGAGGCTGCACTGAACTCTACTCCTCACAAATGCCCTGAACATGCCTTCCACCTTGGGAATCCTTTAGAACAAGGTCACACACTTATGGCACTACACACACAATGCATTTATACACTTCACAGAACTTGCTATCACTGACATTGCTCAAAGTTGCTATAAATTCTTGGAAGAGATGGCCATTAGTGGTTGTCGACAGAACAGGGGTCCATAAGCCGGTCTTGCCACAAACTTTACACTTCACTTGGATAATGATCCAGTTAATTAACACACTGCGCCATGTATATGTTCTGGGTACCAAGTTCTATCTACAGGAGCAAACACAAACACCTGTAGAGTTTTCATAGGTTCTATTTACTGGACAAACAGAGATACACAAGGGAGGTGGAGCTCCCTGATCTGTCTGGGGGTTCAACTAACCTTTCAGGCGACATGTGGCAAGTGATACATTAGCAGCTTCCATATGTCGCCAGGCACATTAATTAAGAGTGTGAGACATAGTAAATACATTGCCACACGCTGCTAGCTAGGCTGAATAAATAATGTATATAAATGGAGCACATACATAATATACATACAGCATACATAATATAATGTACATACAGTATGGATACTGTATAGCATCTTCTGTAGTGACTATAGCATTGATTTTTTTATTTTTTTTGAATAGAATAGTATATAATTTTGTGGTTGAAAAATTGGGAAAACGAGGGGGGAAGCTGTGTAAAAGGCTAAAGGGACAGATTGAGAACTAAAATAAGTCAAAAGTGTGGGAAAACTTTTACCAAAATGGAAAATTTGGAATCTGAAAATTTCTTACAAAACTTTTGCATTTATAAGGAAATAATTTAATTGATATATACTGTACTCCACTGGAATTCTGATACAGTATGGATTATTTAGATACAGTACTGTACAGTACTGTACACTACAGTACAGATAGACCCCGACTTACGACGGGGTTAGGGACCCAAATCTAGGTCGTAAGTCCGACATGGTCGTAAGTCCGACATAGATAAAAAAAAAAAAAAAAATTTTTTTTTTTTTTAAATAAATAATCTACAATGAAATACAGTACAGTAAAAGTAATGAATAATGAGGGATGGATGCAGTACAGTGAAAGTAATAAATATTAAGGAATGGTTACAGTGTGACTGAGCACTTACCTTTAATGTAGTCAGCTGAATGCACATGGGGCCCCCATAATTTTCTAATTATACATGGAGACTACATTAACTGGAAACGCTTCGGTATAGAAAATGCGTGTCATTTAAAAAAAAAAAAAAAAAAAAATTAATAAAAAATCTGCGGCGGTCGTAAGTCCCGACGGTCGTAAGTCGTAGCAGTCGTAAGTCGGGGTCTGTCTGTATTCTGCTTAAAACTCAACAGTTATTGCATCTCCAGCAACAAATTATGAAAATACAGTACAGGTACCAGGAATAATTTAGATAAGATGCAGGAATAGAAACAGTACAGGTAATTATAAATAAAAAAAATATGATTTTGTTAATATTGTATAAAGTTTATCACTGAATTACAGTAGAAGTCCAAAAATCCGGACTGCTTGGGGGATTGGGTCGGTCCGGATTTTCGGATTTTCCGGATTCTCAGGCAGTACTTTAAAATTAAAATTTAAGGAGGAATAAAGAAAAGATGAAAAGGTACATTTTGATAGTTTATTCATTAGCAAATATAGCATGCTTCATTTATCAAAATGAGCAGTTTTAAAGAAAAATAAAGTCAACACTAGACAAAAATGTAAACAAACTGTCTAATACCATGATGAGTCTTGAAATTCCTAAGCCATCCAACACTAAATGCGCACTCTGATTCAATGTTCATTTGCTCCTTAAAAGACTTTGCTTTGGCAATAAGCATCGGCCCAGAAATTGCCATACCTTCTGATCGTTTTAACAAAAAACATTCATGCAACACTTTATCAAGATATTCTAATTTGGGCCAATGTGAACTTTTTCTTTCAGCAATTTTAATGTAAGGCTCAAAAAAGCTGTGAATTCTATAATTTTATTCTTTGCCTTTTTTATATCATAAATTGTAGACTTTCCAATGTCGTATGTTTCCATTAGAACAGCATTGCTCACACCACGTTCTAGTTTCTTAATTATTTCAAGTTTGTCACTCAATTTCAATGTGTTCTTCTTTCTCTTCACACAACGAAGTTTATCTACTTTAGGGGCCATTATTATGGGCTTGTACTCTGTACATGGAAAGAGTAGGACTTAAAATTACATATGTTGTCACAGTTTGATTGCTTGTTTTAAAGTGGCGATCGCGTGGTCGTTTGTTGTCGCTGTGCAGCTGTGGCATTCACGCATGCACACATACACACAAAAGATTTATAGTGCCACAAATTTTACATTTCAGTTCAAGCTAATTACAAAACTAACAAAATTAGCTACCTATAATTTACAATTACTTTTATTATTAGAATTATATAAATTAATTTTTTAAAGCAACTCCATTCATTCATGTAACCCCCAAAAGCCCGCTAAATTTAAAAAGTTTGAGTTTTCGAAAAGTCCGGATTCTCGGGTGGTCCGGATTCCTGGCATCCGGATTTTTGGACTTTTACTGTATATGGTATTTTTATAAATTTTATTGAATTCTAAAAACATGATTTTCTGTCTCCCAGCAATACTTTGAAGAACTTGGCCTTCAGAATAACTGTGACCAAGGAACTGTACGGGATGTGTTTATCAAACTGGCCAAAAAGTTCCATCCTGACAGTGGACAACCACAAGCTGATGGTGCAAAGTTTCAACAGGTAACACTTCAATCTCAACCTGTATGTGATATGTGACTCACTATATAAAAGCTGAGATACATTCTTATGAAAATATACCTTCACCAAGTCTTAAAATGCTCAATAAAACATTATTTTAATGGCAATTTTTGGTGTACACAATGATTATAAACCAATAATAGACATAGTACTAAGTGATGGCGTGGAAGTTAGTGAGAAACTGTGACACTGGTTGGCTGTAAGGCCCAGTGAAGACATATGGTTATACAGTACTGTAATTTGGTAGTGATGCACCAACAGTAACTCTAAGTACAGTACAGTATATACATTGTCAGATGTTTTGCTTTCACTGGATTTAATTTTTGATGTGGTTTTAGCTGAAGAAAAAATCATAAACTTATCCATTTAACATTTATTTTTTGCATTGGCATCAGTTGAAACTCTGGGATACATAACACATGAGTGTTCCAGTCAAAATACAGGTTACAGTGTTTGTTAATATTTTAGGGATAGGTGATTATTTTAGGCAGCTGCCAGAGTGTAGAATGCTACAAGTGATAACCTGGTGAGCTATTATGCAGTCTGTCAGTGATGAATATTTTCCTAGTTGTAGAGAAGAAGGATGTGCCCTGTGTATTAATGGTGAAATATTCTGGTATGAAGAATGTCAGGGATGTACAGTCAACAAATAAAATTTCTGTACCTTTATGGTGTTATACAATACAGTATGACACACCGGACCAAGAATTCTGAACAACACCCATTTATGTTGGTGATTCCTGTTAATTTCTCTTGTGTTAACTATATGTGATATAAAAAAATACATAATACCGGTCATACAATGCATCACATAACTAGAAATACCAACATTACCAAATTAACATGGCCTCAGGCAGTGATCATTGCAGGGGCCATCAGACCAAGGGGTGCAGAACATTTTTTGGCTGACTGTACATTCGCTCAAAAAAGTATTTTTACCTTTTTCGGTGAGATAAGATAATACATTGGCTGAAGGATTTTGACAACTGTACTGAGACAACTGGAGTCATGGTTTTCATTTTTAAATTCATTGAACACCTCCATAAAGATTCTTTTTGAAACTGCCAAGTCTCCACCTACACCTACCATACACCACCTCCCTCCCTTCCTGCAGATCAAATTCTTTTAGTCTCTAGTTGTACCATCTAGATTAAATAAAATTATTCTTTGATTAGGATTTATAACCCCACTACATACTATATAAGAAAAACAATATACAGTGGTCGCTCAGTTAACGAACACATTTCGTTCCAGAAGGTCGTTCGTTAACCGAAAATTTCGTTAAACGAAACCATTGTTTCAATGGGATTTTGGGTAACTGGTTCCAGCTCACCGAAAATTACATACAAACTAAAAATAAATGCAGTAAAGTACACTTACTTTGAGGTGTGTATGTAGAAGGCTCCTGGTTGATGATGATGATGATGATTGGAATTAGAAGTGGGGGTGGAGGAGAAGGGAGAAAAGAAGGAAGTGGGGGTGGAAGAGAAATCACCCCATGCTTCATGCCGCCATTTCACCCATAAAATTTTAGTTCACGTGGTGTAATTCAAGATTATTTTCTTTAAATCAACACTGCACTGCTCTATATATTGTCAATATGTAAAATAAACTTCTGAATGACCAATAACTGTACTGTAAAAATTTAAAAATAGTTTATGTTCAAGAGTCTCAAGCAAGATGTTACCTTCACTGAGCAGAGACACAAACTGACACCTGCTGGGTGAGTCAAGTGGCTCTTTCTTGTGCTAAAAACTAGTTTCCTGTACTTCAATTATGTTCGATAATTGTTAAAATGACTAAAAATTTTAATATAAAACTTTTAAAGTTATTGAATAGTACAACCTTCTTGATTTTTTTATTTTTTATTTTTTACGGGAATTAGCCCACCCGAGCACAGGTCAAACGACCCACAACGGAGCCTAGGGGGTGGAAAAAAAAGAACGGAAAGAAATTGTAAATATAGAAAAAAAGTTATACAGTGAACCCTCGCTTTACGCGGTTTCACTTTACGCGTTTCTACATTTACGCGGTACCCTGCCAGAACCGGAATTCCCACTTTACGCGGTGCATCTACTCATATATGTGGGTGAAGTATAATTTTTTTATTTAGCTCATAAAATTCATACAAATTACCTGGCCAGAATGTAATTTACATTGCTGGAATTCTTACAATTTGATGATCATTTTGAATATAAGCATCATAGATTTTGCATTAGACATACAAATTTTAGATCTAATGCAAGTATTTTGTTTACTCAGAGCAAATATGTTATCCTTTGTGCAAAATATATGACGTGTATATTCAAAATATTCCTGGTCTTGCAAGGAATCCAGCAATGTCAATTATATTATCCTAACTTTAGTTTGAGGTATTATTTATTACTATACCTTAAAATCTAGTGGTTTTCCCCCAAACATTTCTCAGAGCGGGAAGAGCCAGCAAGTGTGAGAAGAGGGGGAGGGAGTTGAGTCCATTATTTGAATGGACATTAACTTGGCGACTGTATTTCTCTATTTCTCTTAAATATTAATTGTGTGCATGTACCATCATAAAATTAAGATGTTATTTTTACTAGAACATAGGTATTGTGTCGGAAAAAGTGGAGTTTGGGGGTCAGCCGGTCTCTATTTCATTTAATCCCATATGTTATGTTGTTCATTTTACGCGTTTCTCTACGCGGGCCTCCTTGGGTTCAATTGACCGCGTAAAGTGAGGGTTCACTGTACTGTATTAATCTACATCACGAAGATGCCGGAAAGCCAGCTTTTTAAAATGAGACAGATTTTAAGAGCATGGAAACACAGAAGAAGGCAGAGCATTCCACAGTTTGGCTGTGTGAGGAAAGAAGGAGGTACTATAACGGGTTATTCTCTTGTGACCGACATCCACAGAAAAACGGTGGGCACCGCGGGCAAGACATGTGTTACGATCCCACGGCCTTACCGGCGGTACACAAGATGCCAAATCCACCGAACATTGCCCGTTAAAGTACCTGTAAAAGAGAGAGAGTGAAGCAACATTGCGGGGAAGAGAAAGGGAAGAGAGATTGTCGACTAAAGGGGGAGAGTTAATAAGACGAAATGCCTTTGATTCCACCCTGTCTAATAGTTGGACAGAAGAAGAGCCACCCCAGATATGAGAGCAGTACTCCAAGTTAGGACGAATGAATCCCTTATATACTTGGAGCAACTGCTCAGGAGTGAAGTAGCTGCGGCATCTGTACAGCATTCCCAACTTTCGGGAGGCAGCTTTAGTTATACTAAGGATATGTGATTTCCAGGACATATTGGAGGAAATGGTGAGGCCTAACATATTTATTTCAGAATTTGGGAGGATGATAGCGTCCTGAAATGTAATTGGTGGGAGATCGTCTAATTTACAAAGTGTAATTGGTAAATATTGAGTTTTATTACTATTGAACTTAACCAAGTTTGTACCTCCCCATTCAGAGATGCTGCACAGATCCGCGTTGATAGAAGTAATGATATCAGTTTTAGAAACAGATCTAGTTTGAGAGTTAGGAGGAAGGGGAAAATGTGAGGAAGAGTGAAGAGTAGAATCATCAGCGTAAGAATGGATAGAATTAGTTGTAGTGTGAAGTAAATCATTGATAAAAAGAAGGAAGAGAGTTGGTGAAAGAACAGAACCCTGTGGGACGCCACTACTGGTAGAGAAAGAGCGAGAAACCGATCCTTCGACAACAACTGCCATGGATCGGTTCTCAAGGAAGCTAGAGATGAGAAAACAAAGTGGGGGAGAGAAACCAAAAGAGGGAAGTTTAGATTGCAAAGACATGTGCCATACCCTGTCAAATGCTTTGGAGATGTCGAGAGCCACGACAAAAGTTTCCCCATAATCCCTAAGAGAGGATGACCAAAGATGGGTGCAATAGGAGAGCAGATCACCAGTAGATCTCACCTGGCGAAAGCCATACTGGTGATCCGACAAAAGAGAAAGGCGTTCAAGGTGACAGAGAAAATGGGAGTTCTAGATAGTTTCGAAAATCTTAGAGAGGGATGAAGTTAGGGCAATGGGCCGATAGTTAGAGGGATTAGAATGGTCACCCTTCTTCGGGATGGGCTGAACCAAGGCATGCTTCCAAGAAGAAGGAAAAGTTTGGGTTTTGAGGCAAAGGCAAAAGAGGCGAGCAAGCACGGGCCAGGGCTTCAGCACACTCCCCCAGAACACGAGGGGGTATTCCGTCCGGTCCATGCGCCTTACTCACATCCAACCTGGATAACACACCGGCAACCCTGCGAGTGGAGATTATAGGAAACTGCCCAGGTTCAGTAGGAGGTGCAGGGGTAGGAGGGATAGAGTGGGAATCGTCTAGGGTGGAATTTGAGGAGAATAAGGTGCCAAAGAGGTTGGCTTTGTCAGGGGGAGAGTTGGCTATAGAGTTATTGGGATGGAAGAGGGGAGGAAAAGAAGGTGTGCAGAAGTTGTTACAGATGTTTTTAGTTAAGGACCAGAAGGATTTACTAGAGGAAGAATTAGTGAGGACAGCGGTGTTTCTTTTAATATCATTCCGCTTGGCCCTACAAAGAATAGCCTTACAACGATTCCTAGAAGTAATGAAAGAGGTGTGGGTAATAGGAGAAGGAGATAGTTTCATAGCTCGATATGCCCTATCTCTCACCCTGCAAGCAAAAGAGCAGGAGCGATCAAACCATGATTGTAATGTGAAAGTTTTGGTAGAAGATGGGATAAATGCACTCATACCGCCCTGTATACCTGGTAACCCCAGCAATGCTGTCAGCACATACCGAGGCATCCCGAGTGGAAAAGCAACATTCATCCCAAGGAAAGTCGGTGAAGAATTCTCACAAGGATTGCCAGCTTGCCCTCCAAGAGTGCCATAGTTGACGTTTAGAGGGGGGTGGGGGAGATGGTCGTGCCCAGTTTGATTTAATAGAAATAAGGTTGTGATCAGAAGACCCTAAGGGGGCAAAAATTGAGTATGAATAGTGAGAGGGGT